ATTATTTCATATATTTAATACTTAGAGTATGTCCAACACTACAGCACATTGTCCTTCTCTTCAGCTTAGCAAAATATAGTACAGTCCATTCCTCACACAAATATCAGTCAGAAAAAAAAGCTTACACGATTCTAATTTCAAAAACCACATTCCGTGCTACCGAGTTGAATATCAACTTTGTTTGAAAGCTGCCATCTTCCTCGGTTCAGCATCAGCATTTTTTTCTTTTCTTTTTTAATACAACTTTTTCGTCTGAATCTGGAAGCGTTGCTAGGCAACGTCACACCTCGCGCAGCCAGCGCACAGCTCAAAGCGCAAGGAATTTCCACAGCAAATTATGAACAGCTAGTAACCGCGGAGTAACATCTGTTCCGTTATGTCAGCCACGGAGATGTTATATCTGTATTTTGTAGTGACGCGAGCCCCAGATGAGTGATGTGAGATACATGTAGGAGAGGGATTGTAACTACGTAACCGGTTTTACAATGAGGAGATTGGGTTTTTTTATTGCGTTAGAAACATAAGGCACCTGAAAATATGGAGAATTGATAGTAATGAAATTCGCGTAATACATGTATACGCATAAATGCGCGAAATGTGTGTGGATATGATGGCCAGACTTGGAATAAAGGGGTTACATGTACTTTTCGACTTGTCTCCTTTGTTTATGACCTGTTGCAAATTAAAATACCGGTTATCAGCCTGATTATCATTTTGATTTTTTTTTTCATTTTTGTTTTATTTTTAAGCGAGTTTAAGAACGGAGCAGCTAAAGACGCTCGGACTATGAGGGTTTCCAAGGCATTTTTAAAGAGCAGAATTTGAAAATTATAAATATTGCCTTATATCATCGACATGTCGTCTAGAATGAGACAAGCAGCAAATATATAAAGAATTAAAAACAGAAAACATCGATTCGTAGTTGCTTGTGCGTGCACATATGCCAAGAATGTATTTTTAGATAGAAACTTATTGTTCTTTAATGCCCCTCCCCCTTCCATACCCTACATATACCCTCCCATACCCTCCCATACCCTCCCATACCATACCCAGTCACATATGCCGGGACCACGATCGCTCCAATAAATCCCGGCAGCATCGTTACCAGTTCATCAGATGAAAATTAAGTTGAGAACACAAGGAATCCTCGTTAATTTTCATGATATATGAACCTAAAACTTATGGCCATACATAGCACGGGCCACGCAGCTTACGTGCACCTATCTCCTCAAGGGGCCCCGTGGATGCGATAATAGAATATGCTCGGTCCGGGCATAAGATGATAACTTACCTGGCCGGTGCTGTGTAAAATTAGCACGATTTAAGTGTGATAAACGTGATAGATGACCCCCAAACTATTCCGCTACTTTCAGCTTCGGTTACAAGTGATCCGGAACAGCGCGGCGTTGGATTACGCCATATTTCAGCGCTATGTCCCCGTCTTTCTTAATGTTGCAGTTAAGTACCATTTAACTCGGAGAGAAGAGGGATATTGAGCTTTCCTCACGCGCTAAGGAGGTTTAGAGTTAGGTTTCAGTGTTTATAACGTACGTATTGAGTGACAGACCAATATTCGGGGTAATGTCGTGGTTTTGATGGACTGCAGAATTTGTTTTTAATTTTTTTAGCTGGGAAATGTGCTTTGATTTTGTTGAGGAGCAAACTTAGAGGCCGCTGCAAGCTATGATCAGTTCTGAATTAATTCGACCATCTCTTTGCGGTTACATGAAAAACCCGTCAATGTCAGATTAATATAGTTTATCCATTTTTAAATTGCTTGATATTGTTATACAAATTTAATGTCACCCCCCTCCCAATAAAGAAAAAAAGAAACCTTCGGCTGTCTTCTTCTGTCAACTCTGTGTCTCTGTCCCTATAAAACCTTTCTCGTAGGTTGATACACAAGTTTTTTATTCCTTATAGCCAGTCCCAAAAATAGCCCCCAATCACCCTACATTTCTTTGGTTTTCTTGTCTTTTTCGGGAAAATTCTTCCCTTACAGTACACGAACAAAACTGATAAATCAGCCCTGTCAGACTTTTTTTTCCAAACAACAAAGTGGTCTTTAATGTCATCTCTTTAATGTTCTCATTTAGAGTTGTTAAGAAAAATCAATTCAAAGCGAAGAACATTTCGTTTAAAAACGCTTAAGCGTTTGCCTTTAGCGCAAAAAGTCAATGCAAACTGACATTGATACTTCGGGCCAATATCTGCAACCATTGTTGCATGGCGGACGCAACTCGGTGAGTAGCAAAGAACACGACGAACTGCCTATACCCCATAAGCCAGTTTACACTACACCTAATAAAGATCGACATTTATTTCTCGATATTTCAACTCCCAGTTAGACGGCGTGCCGGTTATATTATAGGCTAGATCTGTAAAGTTTTACAGCAGTATCACATAATTGTATTTTGACGGATTGTTATCCGAGTTTTATCATGAAAACAAGTCTAGGTCCTACAACTCAGGGTTTACAATTACGCGCCAACTCTTTTCTAGTCTGGTCAGAAACTTATTTCGTTTAACCGATAAACAGTGAAGTTTGAATGAAATTAGTCAGACTGATGGAGAAGATGCAACTGGAGTTGTTCCCACGTGACTGACTGTAATTAACTTGCTCACTATATACAATTCGTCCCAATTCCCTCTTCCGGGGTCATTTACTGACATTATCTGTTTGCAGTTACTTGTAACCACTGACTAGAGAAATGAAAGTAATAACGAAGGCCCTGTAGTGGCACCAATCGATTATTCCATCATAATATGCCTTTCTAGTTGGTTGATTATACCACTTTATGTTCAGCGTGAACGAAACCCCGGCAAAGATGACTCGGGTATCTAGAAAGTCAAAGAAACAGCATCCTGGTGATTTATGAGACTCGTTGCTTAACTTAACCTGGTGGTTTAATGTCGAACGGTAAAGGCAGCCAGTGATTAAAACGCTCTTAAAGATATGATCAGCTTTCAATTAGTGAGGTAATTATCGACCTGCCAAAAATCAATTAAGCCAACACCAGTGCCGCCTTATAGTTCAAAGGGATTTCATGCGACCTCGTGGCTAGCGGCGTCATGATCAAACGAGAGACGCTGGGGAGGGTGGGTTGTAGTCTGAGACGGAAAAGATATTTTATTATTAAGTTTGTTTTGTTTTGTTTTTTACTTTGGTTTTATCAAGATTTTGTATACTTCAGTCTTATTTCTTGAAATTCTGTTATAACTACACTTTTAGAGAGTAGTTTCAAAAGACTTTAAACACTTAATTTTTCTTGGTCTCTATAACGCGATTTTGTTTCTTTACTCCAATAAATTTGGTTGAAGAACTGCAGTTTTGTTTTTCATTCAAGGGACGGCGGGATAACACGCCTGTAATGTAACGTGCTGTAATATCATCATTTAGCCATGTTGTCTAGAAAGCTTTTTTGTAAACTCTGACATACCCTGGAATTGAGATATGAAAATCTAATTTGAATTTTTTCAATCTTTATCCACCTTTGGCATGAGGAGCGAATTATATCGTAAGAAAAATTTTTATACATTTGGAGTTTTCGGTTTGTGTGCGTAGAATGTTACCAGAAGAGACAAAGCAAGACCCCTACTTTTCATCAGTCATTTTTATACACTGTAACTACAACGTTTTTGGGACGTTTGAAAATTTTAGCAGTTTTGGTAACAGACGATCAGACGACTTTTCTGTTGGACGGGACATTAATGTGCTTCCTCTCTAAACACGCCAAACAAGTGGTTAATTCTCCGTGAGAACCAAGATGATTCAGATTGTATCCTTAGAAAAGATAATAACGGCTGAAGAATTTGGAATAAAAAAGGATAAACAGATATAAAACCTACAATACCCTTTTTAAGGACAAGAAACCACGCGCCGAGCTCCGCCTTGAAATAAAGTGAACCTCATCCCGATAAAAATCTCGAATTAGCTATCACATCTGCGCGTCTGAGTTGCGTCTTCATTCGAAATTAGTCTTGGCGTTTTCATTAACATTTCACAAATTGCGAGATAGGCTCTTGAGTTTGAAACCGTGTCAGTTTACCGTGGGTGCTGCAGCGGGATCTAAATTGAGATATTTCTCATGGAAAGGAATTTAAAGGACGGCCGAGGACACGGAGAGAATAGTGGTTGTTAACTGATAGTCTCGTCAGTATTGAGGCCAAGTCGCTTTTTAACTCTGTTTTGAATTTGTTATTAGCACTAGCAAGCCCTCCTTAGATCACTAAGGCATGTCGTACCCGAATTGACCCTTTTCTTTTAATTTCTCTCTCATACGGCACTTCTGATATCATTTAAGATTTCTCTTCTTATGAAGAAATAGTGATTTTCATTTTCGACAGATCTTTGACGCTTGTCGACACCAAAACAGCCTTTTCCTTTTGATTACTGGGTGTGCCTCTGTTAAAAAGCGAATAAAGTAAAATGGGCAGTCATCTTAACTGCCACTGCATTCTTCTGTTTCCCCATTGCTTCTGTGTTTTGGTCCCTGGTTCGAAGCAGATTCGTGAACGCTAGCTCCTGCACTGTGTATAATGTAACATAGTTCAACTCGGGCTTCAAGCCTAACAAAAATGTGCTTACCCGTTATTTTAAAAGAAAATGAATCAGAAAAAGGAGATCTCAATAAATCAAAAATGCATAATCGATATGAAGTCGAAAAGGTTTGATAGTTTATAACTGTAAACTCTAATATACTTGCTAGGAATCTAATCTATAAAAAATGAGCGAATTTCATTTTCAATAAGAATTAAAACATACCCGTGAATCTGTTGTAGTTAAATTGTGTGTTATTGTTTTATCTTTTCATTAATCTTTTGTTGTTGGTGGTGGTGTTCTTGTATCATTTATTTTTTGTTTTTCTATTTATTTATTTATTTATTCATTTATTTATTTATTTATTTATTTACACTTTCTGTTTCTGCATCAAGTTAACATAGAACAATGTTATCTGCCTGACAGCAAAAATAAAACTTACTTTTCATTTCGATTTTAGGACCGAGGTCTAGAAAGTTGAAGAAGAGAGAGCGCAAGCCAGAAGAAAAACGCCCTCGCACCGCTTTCACCAATGAGCAACTAGCCAGGTTAAAAAGGGAGTTTGAAATGAATCGATACCTCACGGAGGAGCGGCGTCAGAAACTAGCGCGTGAGTTAAACTTAAACGAATCCCAGATAAAAATCTGGTTTCAGAACAAACGGGCAAAGATCAAGAAGTCTTTGGGGCACAGGAACGGTCTTGCTCTCCATCTGATGGCCCAGGGCCTTTACAATCACTCCACAGTGGCGGTTGATGAGGGAGAATGAGGCTGTGACGTCATGATGTGGGAAACCTGTACAAAGTGACGTCATAGCGCGGGAAAACGAGCAACAGTGACGTCAGAGTTGAACAGACTCCACCGTGTCAACATGGCTGACATTGCCGACCATTGCCGTGCTTTTGTGGCGAGCACTGCTATCCGTTCATTCATCTGACAGGTACATGGCCCAACATCGTCTGGGTGTGATTCTCAGAAATTCTCGGATATGGACCCAGGGTCCAAAACTGTCCTCCAAATGACGGGGAAAGCGAACGTTTTAGATTCCAAGCCTAAGAGACACTTTCAAGATAAATGGCATAGTATCGGATGAAACATCTGTAAAAATGTACATGTTTCTGTTTGTGAGGATAGGAAAAACCCGACCTTTAGAGCGCCGTTGCCATGTCGACGATATCCATATTCAGACATTTTACAGCAGATGACTATTTAGAAGGAGAACCTCGTGTGTCCTCGGCATCTCGTTCAAACACATTTTACAAGATGGACATTTGTCAACTCTTCAGTACGCTTCTAATAATTCAACCCAGTACTGTCAACCCTCGTGACAGAACGACGCGTACTCATGAACCTTGTAAACACCCAAGAATTTCCGTGCAGCTGTACTTTTTCCATTGTATTCCATCGTACCATAGTGCGATAGAGAACAGGTACCCTTTAAAAAAACTTTTGTCAAATTTCATTATAAACGGACAATATTGTCGCATGCATGAAAACACAGTAACTGGTTTCTGTTTTATTTTGTATTCCTTTTTCAAAAAGCCAATTCCAAACTTATACAAGGTTTTTAATCAACTGAATCGTTTTTAAAACACGTTGTATAGTGGTGCCAATGGATTGTACGTTAAAATGATTTTTTTTTCTATAACTAATATGACTTTGTGCGTTATTGTGGTGGAAAATTTAGTTGAATGATAAGTTTATTGTAATGATTATTTAAGAGTTGTTTTTACCGCAAAATGGCATGAACGTATCAAAACTTCGTGTTACCAAACTGAAAAAATTAAAACACTGGCTTTTAATGGTTTCCTATAATAATTGGTCTGCTATTGCCCATTTTAAAATTAATTTGATAAGAAAATTAAAACGGCACATTTATTCTTCTTTTCTGTGCCATTATGAAGATAACATAATCCTTCGATTTGAGTTCAAGTCACTGTACTACTACATGGAGAGCTTCAAATACGGGTTGATGTACATGTATGTGTTTGATGTATATAAATAAGCTGAAATATATCCGTATTAAATTTTGTTTCTTTGTCAATGAGCAGTATTGGTGATTAACGGTATTTCTACATGTATATACAACTGATTTTCATGTTATTTCATTAAATTTCATTTTGTCTTTTTTTAAAGACTTCGTGGCTTCTATTTTAACTTCATTGCTCCATGGTCTTCCCTCTCTCTCTCTCTCTCTCTCTCTCTCTCTCAGTTCGCCGTCGTTTCACTTGAAATACATGAAATGCAAGATTTATAAGTTTAGATAAAACACTAACATGTAGTTTAAAAAACAGCTTGTTCACAGGGTTTATACATATGTATATGGCAGTGAGATACAACTCTGTACAAGGCACGACATGTACTTTTGAGTCATCTCCATTTCAAACCATTAAGAAAAGAAAATGGTCATGTAATAAATGACCGTGCATCGCTAAGAAGTTCAAAATGCGGTTTGCGGTTACCATGTATAGCCTTTTAGTTAAAGGGTGTTTTTTAATAGGGGCATCGAAAATAGTTTTTACATGGTAAGGTTTGAACATTTAGACATTCTGATTCGTCTGCACCCCTGTTGCCACAGTGGGTCGTTAATTTTGATGTCATTTTAATGCTGTCTTCTTTGCCGTAATATTGTTGTCGTGGATAGAATATAAAGCACTGCGCTTTTAACGACAATCGTTATTCGATACTGTTGATCATTTGCGACAATTGTAAAGTTCCGTGTTGGTGTTTTCCACATTGTGAATTAGATTTTTTATAGCCGATTCGATTTGACGAAAATATCAAAGAAAGGGTTAAATGTAATTGACAATCACCAAAGAACCCTGTGGTTTATAATACTTAAAAATAACACTTAAAGTGTTACCTTTTTGCTGTTGCTAAAACTGTTTAGCCTTGAAATAACAGGGGAAAAAGCTGCAAAAATAGGGTTCGGTTCGAAAACTATGAGACTTTATTGAAGCTAGTTTCTTAATTTTGAGAGAGCATCGTCTATGTAATTTTTTCTTACTAGAATGCGCGAAAAAGGTTGGTAAAAATAACGTCATTTCTTTCCCCCTTTCCATATCTAATTATAAACTGAACTTCGCTCTGTTCATTTCATGTTTTTTTTTTTCAAATTTTTATGCAGTGATGTGGTATGAGGCTTGTTGCGGTTATTTTGTACTTCGTCCGCCTCTGAGAGCCCTCCAGATCCCCAATTACAAAAGCCCAGTCCCTTGAGGTTTGCCTAAGTCACCTCCCACTGGCTTCATTCTAAACACTTTGATGTATATATCCACTTAAGCTGCGAAAAAGCGTCGGCTCTTCAATAAAGTAAATAACATCGTCGTTTGTCCTTTTATTATCCGTTTATTACCTTTGTAATTCGGCCCCTCCGCCGATGCGGACAGATGGTACCGAGAGGCGAAAAGTTCGTGCACATCAAATGATACATTTTTAACGTTCAGGAGCAGGTGGGTTGATATCCAAAACCGAGTATAAGTTTTTGTTGCCCCGTGCGAGTGGGGTGTCGGCTTACGCCTATCATTCTGATGTAGTATTTTATGAGGAAATTTATCCCTCTTTCCATTCCACTTCAGCGGCCTGAACTCCAACAAATGTAGACAGATGCCTCTAAACAAACAAAACGCTGAGGTTTTGACTTACCTGGCTGGCTTCAACGTTCGATTACACGAGATAATACGTCTTATTCAGAGAGTGGTTTCGAATCTCGCTCTAATCCAGATCAGTTTCGGACGATTTTATTGCTAGGATTGATGATCTCGCGTTCTGTTTTATCTGAGCATCACGATTGGGTGGTCCGAGGACCGATGATTCTATCCAAGCTGACTTCTTCCAAAGATTTAGATAGGGATTTTTAACAGCTAAGAGAAATTTATCCTGAGAAATTAAAATTGGATCTTGCACGCGTCATTGACTGCTTAATACGTCGAAAAAATCGGTAAATTGAGTGTCTGATAAAGTGCACAGGGCGAATGAGGCGGAAGAGAAGCAAACTGACTTCAATCACACTATGGAGTATCAGTTTGGGATGAGTTAATTATAACAATTTAACCTTTATTACTTTTTCCTCCTTTGAGTGTTCACACGTGAATGGCCGCTATATATATAAATTCAAACAATTTTAGCCTTGGAACCGTCACATTCAGGCTGTTTTACAATCTTTAGTTTACAAAATTCATGCTCACGTCATCCCTCTAAGAAGTAGAAAATTTGATTCCGAAGGCTGAATGATGCGCCATTATCACTACAACTTATTTGAAAAATGTTGCAAATCAAACAAGGAGCAGCAAAATGTCCTTGTTATCCGACTATGGAACTAGATACGTTTTCAGTTTTGTCCAAAAGTGAAAAAAGTTATACCAATGTAACCCTTTGTTTAATCAACACATTCCTGTTGTCAAACAGTGAAATATAGTTTACAAATATAATATAAGAAAACGCAACTTTAACAGACCTAGAAATTAAAAAAAAAAAACGCATGAATATTTATATTAACAATTGTTGCTGTTTCACCAATTCATTTTGGAAATCTGCAAAAATAATAGTACATCATCATCGTCCCGACCCACGCTGAGGCTACTTAATCTACTATAATTTTAGTAACATACACACAAGTAGTGATTCCTGGAACGCTATCGTTAAACTAAAATCTTACGATAATCAGATAGAACAATATCTTCACCATGTAACATGCAAAATGTCCCTAAAGCATCAAAGGAAGGGCGAGTTAGTTCATTTTCTCTCACAGCGGGAAAGTAATAGGGTTCGTACCTCTGGGCAGTGTGGCATGCGCGTATGGCATCGTGCCCAACATATTCGTGTTAACGTTAACATTGTTTTATAGAATAAACACCAATTGAATATTTTATCAAGAAAAACTTATCATTGGCTTATTAGCTGTTTTATCGTTTATGTTTTTTAAATTTTTATTGAGTATGTTGTTACGCTCCGTAGTGAACTTATGTAAATATAAAAATGAATTACCGCTGTAAGTGAAACTTTCGACCAACTTAAAGACGCATCTTCCTTATTTCACTACAGCTTAACACGATAAAAAAGACCCAACAGCCCCTGCTGTAACCGTCAAAATATGAAATACTGTATCGCATGAAATGATAGCGGTGCACTCTCCTCGGTTGATGCGGTACAAGTGAAGAGGGGTAACATCCCGATGCTATTTTCTACATAAGGTTTATAGGCGGAAAACGGCTTAATCACAAGGTCACAGGTGAAAAAAATTACTGCAAGCCGGGAGCGCAGCAGGTAGTAATAATACAGATATCGTGATGAAGACCCATACTACATAACGCAAAGCACTGGAAGAACCAGAATTCTGCTAGAGGGGTGGGGGGCGGGTGCAGGATTAAAAATGACCTCTCTTTGTACAGTAAATATGTATAATAGTCGGCAAGGGGCATTTCACTGTAATACTGCGTTTACAATTAAAGTACATGATTGGATATTGCAGGAGTTTTTTTTTTTTTTTTAGTTTCGCTTGATGTACAATTTTTTAATGTGTGTGTGTGTGTGTGTGTGTGCGGGGTGGGGGGGGGGCGAGAGCACGGGACCCATTTTGCCCCCCGCCCTCTGAAGAAGTGGATACAGGGTGATGGGATCCCTCTTTCCCCTCTCCCTTTTCTTTCAGAGCGGGATGGCGAATTCAACTTACCAACTTGGAGATTCATGCTAATGTTGGACCCTGCTCTAAGACTCAAGGAAGCAAGATTCATGTTTTCTCGGTTTTGCAGAATGAGTAGCGGAGGACCCCCCTTTTTTCTGCACATCATTCTTATATCAGCCTTATTTATCTGTATTCCCTGTCCGTGGTAGCCCACTTCCCGTAAACAATAAAGACTAAGTACTCGATGATAACACTTCGTAGTCTGTATTATAGGCTAATACACAGGGAGTTATGCCAATGTAACAGTTTATTCCATCGGCATGCCCTTACAATACCGGCGGCGTTTAAATAACACTTGACGGTATTTGGAGTCATAGTTGAAATAACAAAAAGCACAGCCTTGACATAGTTCTTTTTATCTTATTGATAGCACTCGATAGACATGGGCAATTATTTTCCACGGTTTTCTTTAGATCACATCATATAACTAACCTGTTGGCATGCAAAATGTAAAAGCTCAAAACTTTAAAAACATTCAAATATATATTATAATGTGTACGTATATAGTATATATGTTTTTTTTTTTTGTGAAAATTTAATCTTTATTCAAAAGTTGTGGCGTTTTGTTTATTTTTACCGAACGCAAAGCACCAAAATGCACAATGTAACAGACGACGGGTTATGTCAGATTCCATTGCAGCTCAGCATTCCGCAGTGAAGGGAAAATGCTGAATTGATTGGTTAACAAATGTCAAGCAAATTGTCACGATAACTTCTTTAAAGATGATACCGCTCTCAACAGCTGCTACATGAAACTTGAAACTTAAACAAAATATATCATTTAGTTATATGCAGTTCGTTCTAGATAAGTTGTTCAAACTAGACGGGTAAGGCCAGAAAGTTCATTCTTGTTAGTTGCAGTCACCTACTTGTACAAGTAAGCGGGAGAAGGAGAGTTTAAGTGTGGAAATACTCTCAAAAATTAAAATTTTCAAAAAAGATCTTGCATTCTTTTTTCACAGACAAAAACTTATTCAAATCCGTTTGATTGAGGAAGCTGTCCGATTGCCATTTAAAGCGTTTCAAGTTAGTAAAAAAATGTTTTGGGAAATGACGAAAACAGATCTTATAGCACTTAACCATACAGATCACTTGCCCAATAAATCCACATATAGATCTGATAATTCACGTCTATTTTAGGTATTTTATTTTACAGAAAACATGAAACTTTATTACCATTGGGCATTCTTTGTCGATCTCATTCGTTTAAAATATGCACTATATACATTTGTACATACATATGTATGCAGTAATTTTGTATATACCTTTGTTTTATGTCCACTGCATTAGAAATATCCTGGATCCGCTGAAAATATAATGTAGACTAACCTGATTTTAACTTAAAGTAACTACCCATGCACTTCCATTAATGAACCCTCAATCAATTGAGGATTAAGTCAATAGAAAAGCATTAAGCCTAATCGAGGAGAATTAATCAGAAACTGTATACGTTAAAAGAAAACCTTGTAATCAAGCAAATTGAGTGAGTCGTTTGTTTGTAGTCATACATCAAAGAGGTTGTCTTTACAGTCATGGGATGTTTATTTCTATGCATGTATCGCCATATAACTTTTTATTTCATTCGTTTTGGCAATGTATTCTTCATTTAGCA